CATAAATAAATAAAATGCGGAACTGGTTACACCTTCTCCACTTTTAAAGCTTTTCAAAACCGTTCAAAATTAATGTTCTTAATGCCATGTCATACACTTACCGAAATATAATATCTCGCCAAAAAAGTACACCGCTCACAAGAGGTGATCAATTGGAGTGAGACAATGCTTTCGAGAGGGACGGCGCTCACATCAGAGCTAAAGCCCCTCGGCCTTTTTTTGCTTGCGCTGTGTCCGCAGTGCACATTTGTCACCTCGGTCACTTGGAGCAAGGCAGTCGTTGAGGCAACTGCAGCAGCAGCAGCAGCAGCACACTTTTACGGGGTGATGACTCCGTTTACCGGAGCATGGCGTTTCCGGCCGATGCCGGCTGAAAGCACGCGAGTCGTGGCGTGGCGCGGCGGCCCCCGCGCTGCTGCTGCTGCTGTGCTGCCGGCTTCCGGTGAGTTATATAGTCTGTGCGTGTCAGGTGATGTTGGGGCCACCGCCGCGCTGCCGCGCGCATCTGCAGTCCGACTGCGATTCGATGCGGGGACTTCCCTTGTTGAGGCGCGCCGGGCCTGGGGGGCCGCCCCTCGGGCTGTGCCGTGCCAGAGCCACACACTGCCAGCACTGTGTGGTGACAGAGAGGTGTTGGATAAGCACGGGGGACGCTTGCTGCACGTCCAACAGCTCGCTGGGAGACAGAGAGAAAAAAAGAAGGGCGAGGGGGGTACTTTGGCAAGCACAATACAAAACTTTTGTTTGTATGCCGTACACGGGAAAAGCTAGAAATTGCTGGAGCTAAAAACGAAACTGAATTATTTTCAGCTTCCTCAACCAATTTGTAGCCACAGCAGAAAACGGCAAGACCATAGGACAAACAAATTACACATAGGAACAAGCGCATTTGAAGCAATGATAACTTGCATTGCGACAAGTCAAACATTTCATTGTCTGTGCCATTAAAGAATTTTCTTCATTCTAGTGCGATTAAATTAAGTAAAGTTTGCATAAGAATAAGATCGATTTGACATGGAATTGAATTCGACATAGGCCAGATTTTGCGAAGAGAAAAGAGCTCAAAGATTGGCAGTCTCTTCAAGACGACAAGAATGCCTAAATGTAGGCAACGTCAAAATTTATTCAGTCGACAGGCGACCAGGGTGTTTGTGTTTAGAGTGTTACTGCGACGATATTTTCTTCACGTATAGAAAAGTTTGAGGATTTGATTGCGCGACGTTTAACATTCATAACACGCTATGGGAAATTGAACAAAGAAGGCGAAGGTATGATTAATTTTTTGTCGTTTACGCTTTGTGTGCACATGATTATAACTAAGCCGGCCAGATCTGCGCATAATTAAATAATAATACAAACGTATAGCAGCACTTGTGCTCGCACTTGGACGTCCATAATCTGGCGAGAAAAATATATTCCAGCGGCGGTAGGCGCGGTATGGCGGGCGGCCTCGTTTGTTGTTGTGACGTAACGACGCTGGACGGCCGGCCGCGCAGAGCAACGCAGAGCGGCGCAGCCTAGACCAACAAGTGGCGTGCAGCATGGTGCACAGGTGTAGTAAGGCCCGGGCCGGCCG